CAAAGAAAACAGTAAAATGAAAAAAATGAGTAAATATGTGAGTAAAGCTAACAGAATATTAACTAAATAAAGCATTAGTAAAATTCCCTTTGAATTGTAAAGGGAAGATAATTATTACAAATAAAATATTACCTTAAAAGAAAGAAAAGAGGTAATTAGAGTTAAAATACCTTACTATTTGCCCAAACAGCCATTCATATTAACAGGCTGACTGATAAAAATCCACAATATAAACTCAAATATTGACAGATTGTCTGTACAGGAAATTAGTACAAGTGTTCAGAACTACTGATTTAAACAACATGGCATAGTCTAATGCAGGATAAGGGCTCATGTACCCTTTAGGGGCAGAACAGAGATAAGAGGACTTTAAAAAAAAAAAAAGTTTTTTCTCTTGAATATCACCTTGGGTGCAGATAAGTATGTTTTTATCAATGCTCGCAAAATGGATAGAGGTGCTCGCAAATTACATGGTTCTAATCAGCGCAGGTAAAGGAAAGATCCTGTATGCAAAAAGTAAATGTTATCACATCTTTTTGCTTTATATATCTAAAATATTTATGTTTTAAAAATGACTGTGTGATAAACTGTGGACTTCCTAACATATTTTCATCTATTTACTTCACTAGAGAAACAGAACCTGAGCAACCTTATACATGTTGATATTAGGTTCTAGGAAGAACAATTAATGTTTTTAAGGCAACGAATTGATATAACTAGAGTTACACTTTCAAAAATTGTTCTTGAAATGAATACTTTGGTACTAGAATTAAACATTTAGACACTGAAACTGGAAAGCAAATTCAAAAGGAAAATATACCAAAACAATTGATTACACTTCTGCTTTCTATTTTCTAACACTCAAGTGATATGGTATACATACACATACATATAAAGATATTCTCAATATTATAAATGTTATCAGGTATTTAGCCAAGCGGTTAAGATGCCCAAGTAGGCATCAAAGTGCCTGGGCCTGATTCCCAGCTTCCCAGCAATGAAGATACTGAGAGGCAACAGTAGAGGTTCAAATAACTGAGCTCCTGCTACCCATGTGGGTGACCTTGAATGAGTTTCTGGCTCTGGGCTTAGTCCTTGCATAGTGTCAGCCATTGTAGGTACTTAGGGAGTGAACTAGTAAATGGGAGTGCATTTTCTCTCCTCCCTCTCCCTCTCCCTCTCCCTCTCCCTCTCCCTCTCCCTCTCTTCCTCTCTCCCCCTGTCTCTTCCTCTCTCTCCCTCCCTACCTCCCTTCTCAATAGCTCTCAAATAAATATATTAATATTATTAATGATCTTGGCCAATAAGTTTTGTTGGTACAATTTTGTTATTCATTTTAGTTATTTTCAATAAGAGTCTCATAAAACAAGAGCCTTTCTCTAATGTGCAATTATAAATTTATTTATCTGTATAAAAAAGTCACACAAAACTAAGTACATAGATACTACAAAAATTGCAAATTGGTGGGAAAAAAATCAATGCTTTACAACTTAAAGAAATTGTTTTGAAAGAAAATTTATCCCTACTCTTTAAAGGATCACGAAATCAAGGAACAGTTTCAGGAACAGCCATTTTCTTCACTACTTACAGACTGACCTCATGTATTTTTTTTTAAAGGAAAGCCATCAAGAAATACAACTCAGTATTCACAGTTTGAAGAATCTGCAACATGTACTTCCAATTGAGAGATACAATTGCAAACAACAGCCTGCACAAGCGAAACACGGAAAAACTGACTGAGGAAGTACAATAGAATTGAGTGTACTTTTCGAAACCAGAGCTGTAATCCAGTTTGTAAAAAAATAAAGAATGGAAGTATCAGCCTAACGCTGCTGAATCACAGAAGCCTAACACAATACAACACAAGGTGACATCCTTTTCTTAAAGAGCCACAAGGCTCATTGAGTCTGGCGATTCAATTACCCTCTCAACCTGGAAAGAAGTCGCCTCCTGTGTGGACGGCCACTGGCAGGGCAACATGGGATGGCCTACATAAACACAGCCTGTAAATACCTACAAAGCTGCAGCCTTCAAAGAACAAGAATCTTTGACCTTTCATGATTGCTACAGCAATTCTTCAACAAAAGATTACTTTTATATTTTCTAAAATGTCTAACACAGATTATGTTTCCAAGTACATATCTTCAAAATATGTATGCACAATGTTTCATTAGGTAGGAAAGAATATGGACAAACTGATTAAGTTGAAAGTTTTCCTAAAATAGAGAGGATGCTGGTTTCCCTAGGCCTTTTATGAACTTTTTGAATAATAGCAATAATAGCTTTTTGAATTTTATTTCCATAGTGCATGCAGGTCTTGAATAAATGGATTTGTGTCCTAATTAAAATCTAAAATTTAAATTAAAATTGAGCTTTAGACTATCTTGGGACCATCTGCCCAGCATGCATCTTTTAAGATCGCTCATAATAATTCCCATATCACAATGCTTGATTTCTGGACTGCTAATTTAGATACATGTGCTTTAACCAAAAACATTTTATATCTCAAAGATTGGACATTTTGCTTCACTCCTTGTTGAGATCATTATGAAAGAAGACACATTTCACATATAATTCATATAAGTTTTCACACTAAAACAAAGTTCCTGTGATGATGAATGTTTGGGATACCATGAAGTCAATAAATGACAGCCCTTCCAGAATTGATCTTCTGAATTACAAAACATACATAAACATCAATGACTTCCTCCTGCCTATAGGATTAAGTCCCAAGGGATGAGCATGGTTTCCATATTTTCACAATTTAATCGCAATCTAATCTTGACTCTAGTCCAGTCACCCTAATTTATTACACTTCCTCAAACCTGCCATGTACAAGCTCACATTGCTGCTTTCTCATCCTCTAGCACCACATGGATTGTGGTACTGACCACACCAAATAACAGTTATTAGCTAAGTTTTTTTTTTTTTAAATTCTCTGTTCTCTTGATTGTGAACTTTTTAATAAAAGATGTATTTATTTATTTATTTGAAAGGCAGAGTTACACAGAGAGAAACAAAGAAAAGAATGATCTGTTATCTGCTGGTTCACCCTCTAAATGGCTGCAGCAGCCAGGACTGGGCAGGCTAAAGCCAAGAGCCAAGAGCTTTATCCGAATCATCCACATGGGTTCAAGGGCCCAAACACTTATTCCCTCTTCCACTGCTTTCCCTGACACATTAGCAGAAGATGGAGCATCTAGAACACAAACGGGCATCCATATTGGATGTGGGCATTGCAACTTAATCCAGTATGCCACAATGCCAGACCCAGATTATGAACTTTTTAAATGCAAAGTTATAGCAAGGACCATGTCTTTCCCAGTGCCCAACACTGTATATATTTTACTATGTTATTAATAAATACAGCAACAAAAATACCAATCACTTCTAGAGGATTTACCATATTGAATGAATAGATAATGAATCCTATTTCAAGAAAATATCTGTCAAGTGATCATGATGTTGGACATTTTCATATACAAGCACTCATATTATTCAGTTTAAAACACAACTTTATAGGACACATGATATCTTTGCTTCATAAGTGAAAGTAACTAGGTAATTTTCCTTGGTTTCACAATTAAGTGATCAACCTAAAAAATTCAATCCATATTTCAAATCCTTATAAATGTGATCATACTGTTCATGACTCCATACCTATACCTAAGTATAGCTTTGATTTCTTTTAGAATCCTAAAGTAATACAAATGTATTATTTTTTCCTAAAATATTTCTTTTTTTCTTTTTTTTTTGTTTTTTGACAGGCAGAGTGGACAGTGAGAGAGACAGAGAGAAAGGTCTTCCTTTTGCAGTTGGTTCACCCTCCAATGGCCGCCACGGCTGGCACACCGCGCTGATCCGATGCAGGAGCCAGGTAGTTATCCTGGTCTCCCATGGGTTACAGGGCCCAAGTACTTGGGCCATCCTCCACTGAACTCCCGGGCCATAGCAGAGAGCTGGCCTGGAAGAGGGGCAACCGGGACAGAATTCGGTGCCCCGACCGGGACTAGAACCCGGTGTGCCAGTGCCGCAAGGCGGAGGATTAGCCACGTGAGCCGCGGCGCCAGCCAAATATTTGTTTTAAATAATTGACATATTCTAAAATAACAATTTTTAATCTATAAGAAACCTGGTTATTGAAGGAGTACTTACTGGATCTTTACAATATTTTAGAACACTGATGTCAAGCTTTGTAAAAAGAAAGAATCTCTACATGTTACCAAATGAGGACTTACTGGATCTTTACAACATTGCAGGCCACTAAAGTCAAACTTTGTAAAAGAAAGATTCCCTAAAAACCTGTGGGAGAGTTTCTTCAGCTTTTGCTCATTTATTAAAATATAAGACACGTGGTCAAGAGTTGCTAATGTTCCTTTCACAAAAACAGTACATACTATTAATCATTCAATCAAATATTCACTTAGTAAGTGAAAACTGGGCTTAGCCATACATTGACTAAAAAACCTAAAGATCAAGTTTTCTTTTGTTCTACTGATACCTTTAACAGCTTCCTTTCTATTTTTTGGTTATTTTTGTTAAAATTCTAATAGGGTCTATGAATTACTTCAAATCTTAAACATTAATTAAAGGGAAAACTCCATTCCCTTGATGAATCTCAGTGTGCTAGACTTAATACTAATGCGTATTTTAAACAAAGATGTTTCACAAATTTTAAGTGTGCTTTGATAATCAGTGACAGTTCCTGTCTATAAACACTTAGCAAGCTTAAGCTAAAATATTCAATGTATTCAATATTTTGTATATAACAACCATGGGTTTCAAAGTAAACCTATTTTGAAATAAAACACGCTCATTTTCACAATAAGCAAATCACAAATTGGTACAGCTTAATTAATAAAATGTGCTCTATTTCCAAATGTCAACAGAAATCATATTTATAAGATAAGCTTTATATTTAAACCACAGGTAATAATAAATAGAGATCAAGATCAAATGCCATTATAAATTTTCATTCGCAGAGTTAAATCTGAATTTACCTTGTTTGCAATACTTGTGATGAATGATTTAATGTCTAGATTAGTTGGACAGCTCTTCTGACAGGGGGCATCTGCACATTTCAGGCATCTAGGAAATAAAACAACTGCATTTAAATAACATAAAGTAACTGAAATAATCTATGTATTTTTTAAATATCCATCCACAGTTGGTGTCTAGTAAGTATAAATAAATATTTAGGTTCAAATTTTTTTGTCTTATTTGAAAGACCAACAGACACACAAAAAGAGAGAGAGCTTTACTCCCCAAATGCCTGCCATAGCCAGGGCTGAAGCCTGGAGCTGTAACTCAATCCAGTTCTCTCCATGGATAGGAGGAACCCAATTACTTGAATCATGACCTGCAGTCTGCCAGGGTCTGCATTGACAGGAAGGTGGGGTAAGGTCCAGGGCTGGGAGTTGGAGTTGAACCATGTCGAGAAGTGGATGTCTCCAAAGATAGGCTAAATACCCATTCTTCTCTGAAATGCCTTTTAAGCAATGAAGTACACGCATGATATCCACATTCCATCTTTTGCAAATCTCTTGAGATGCACAACATAGAACAGTTCTGTGTAATAATTACCTCCACACCACCAAGAGTTAAACCAGATTCTAATGGGACCTCATCTTTTCAAGATCTATCATTTAATCGTTTACTCTATCAGCCTTGTTTTGATCCCTCACTACACTGACAACACTTAGAACAGGCAATCTTTTACAAAATCTATAAATATTGTAGAACACAATTATTACACAAATGAAAAAGTAAAGTCTTTTATTTAACTACTTTTACTATCCTTTTTCTTCCCCCATTCTTAGCTTTCACCTCCCCCCACTACCTCTTTGCCTCCCTCCATCCCTCCTTCCATTTTGCTGATGTCTTTCAACTTATCTACAATTCACCTTGCAACTGCTTGCGATTGCAGATGTTTCAAAGCACAGTCCCCATGTACCCTCTTCAGGGCCAAAGTCCTTATCCACCTGCCTTGCCTCAGCTGAACAGGACACGGCTCCTCTCTAGTGGAGCCTGTATCTGATTACAAATCAATGAGGGGTCCAAACTCTTGCCCTCTTTGGGGGAATCAGTCTGCAGAAATCCATTGAAGCCTTCATCATGACTGTCTGCCCAATCCCACTTGCCTCACCCTTCTGTGAATCTTTGCTTTCAAATAAGCATCCTGCACACTAACCTCATCTCAGAATATGTTCCCTGAAGAACTGAGCAGAGACACATTCAAACTTCACTGTGCTTAAGAACCAACTGCAGAGATTGCTAAATGTCAGAATGCACAGAGGAGTCCCTGGTGAGTCCAAGTTATTGCCTGGGAAGTGCATGTGGGGAGCCTCTGAGGTAATTCTGATAAACATATACGGTTGGAACGATATCACGAAAACCACTATTCTATAATTATTACTTCCAAACACCTTAAACTACTGGCGATAACTGTCCATTCTGAGTGCAATAACTCATGTGTGTCTCTGTTCATTTATTCATTGACTAACACTTAATAAGTCCCTGTCACATGGCTCACCCTCAGCGCTAAGTATATAAAAGTGATGGACAAAAGATGCTGCCCTCATGGAACTGGTAGTCAGGAGGATGCAGAAACAGTGCAGTGGTCAGGGCAGTCATCACGAGTCTGGGTGGAAAGCAGCATGCTAAGGAATCATACAGGAGGCTACAGCGTGAGGAGAGTCAGGGAATGATTCAGGGAAAGCCTTTGGGACTGGGAGGAACAATACTTAAATTTCGATTGAACAATGACTTGATGATAAGGAAGTAAATGACAGTGGGTTGAGAGCACAGAGTCACTCAAGAAAAAGACTCAAAAATACATACTGTATGTGCCAGGGCTTGGAAATAAAAGAACATGACTGGATAGGTGAACCAATGGGATCTGGTCTGACATAAAGCAAGAGTAGAGGTAGAAAGAAATAGGCTGGAGATATACAACTTAAGAAAATATGCCACTGTTACACGTATCAGAAGCCAGAATTCTCTAAGAATGTCACCCAGAAAGAATCCTACATTGCTCAATGACAAAGGTGACTAGAGAGCTCATTTTCTTTCTACTTCCATGTGTAAAGACCTTGGCTCATTTCCTTCAAGTAAACAATACCATTCTCCTTGTCATTCTTTTGTGAGAGAGTCCTCTTCATTGTCTGAGCCAATTTCTCAGTACCTAATTAATATCTTGTTTTTAAATCTGATCTCTTTTCTCTAGTTTGTGCACTTAGCCTTCCTTTTAAATTAAATTTTACACAATGAGTACTGAAGGCTTTTCATAATCAATTGTCCTCTCTGAAATGTAGTCATTAAACCTCTCCCCTATCATTTCTCTAAATGCCATTGTGTGATTCACATCTATCATTTAGTTGAGTTCCTTTCTGCTCAAACTTAGGTTTTTTTTCCCCTAAAACACTGAGTTCACAAAAAATTTCTTTAAAGCATGATCCCCAGCATGTACTGTAAAACAATGCAAAGAAAAAAAGCATAATGCATGGTCCAATTGGTCCTGTTGTTGAAAGGAGTTGATACTTATATGTGCTGCTGTCATATGGATAAATATATGGAGCATTAGTATCAGTTTGAAAGCAATTCCTATTATGTAGTAACAGAAAATCGTTAAAAATATGGCAAATAATGTGACTTCTTTTTTTCATTTATAAAAGCAAGTAATTTCATCAGTTTTAAAATATGTACTATTATACCAGATTACATATGTGGCATAGCATATAGATTCTGCTAACCCTTAATGAAGTCATAAGTTTTCTGTTTTTCTTTAAACCCCAGCTTGAATAATAAGGCAATTAAAAATAAAGTAATGTCAGTAGGTATCAATGAACCGAATTAATGTGCAGTGAATTTTTCTGTTCTTCCAGGGAAATCTTAAATTCAACATAAACAGATTCACTTAACAGCATTGGCAATGTAAGGATTTTTAGTTGTAGTTATTAAGCCTCTTTACCAAATAATTCTCCTTTTATTATTGAGCTAGTTCACAAATAACAGCTGTTGGAAATGTCAGATGTTAATGAGGCAGGGCAATGCAAACCTGAATTGTAGCATTCTTTTTTCTTTGGTGCCATGAATATGCCAGAATGGGCAGACTCTGATAATAATACCATCTTGCAATTCTCTAAGCGCTCTGCAGACTAAAGTGCATCAGGCTGCCATTAATCCCACTTATCACTCTGACAGCTCAGTAATTACACTACTGCTATAGCCAGGTAGTCCTAATAAAATATCAACCACTGCACTGGAATGTATACTGGTGAGATGTTTTATTAAACTTGGGGGGGTTTGATCATCAAGTGACATTATTGTTGACCTATTTTTCTATTTGACAATAAATTATCCTTTGACCACGCCATAATAGATATTACAGAATGCATTTACTGTACCAAATCAGAAAGGTACTGCATTACAATGATGTAGGCAAATGGTGTAAATAAAATAGCAAAAATGCATGTCAGAATGTTATTACCTAAATTGCTTTAAATGATTGATACCATGAAAAATCACAGACACAGTACATAGGGAATATGTCAACAATTATTGTAAACCACAGTTCTACACAAATTTTCCTTAGAAGTAACATTTAAATTATACCTGTTTTTATCTTCAGTCATTTAATTCCCCTTTTACTTTTCAAAGCTATCCTGTTGTAATGCAGATTATTTTTAAATGCAATGTAACAGACAAAAGTTAATTCAGATAAACAATCATGTGATGTTTTTAATCCTCAAATAATTACATTTACACTAAGGAGTATATTAGATTATTTTTAAAGCAATGAACCAGATTTTTTTACTTATGATAAACTTTTTTCATTTCCATATTTAATAGAGAGGGTATAATAGATTTCATTAAAACCAAAATATTGAATCCTTAATAAATGTTAATCTTCCATGATTCAACACGACAATAAAATACACTACAATATGTAGACTTCTGTACTGTTACTTATGGAACAAAAACTATTAAAGATATATCTACCCAGGATATTTCTCTAGAAACATTATTCCTCATCCCAAACATCATGAGGCTGGACAGTTTTACCCCATGGTATAAAATCAAAACATATTATCTTGAGGAATGAAATAAGTGGCATTTCATTCTTCACACATCTGAGAACAGACGTCTGCCTCTTTTATTGGTAAGCATCTGCAGCAGTTTGATTTGTATCCCATATTTGTTAAAGAATTTTCTAATCCATGAGCTTAAATGATTCAGTTAATTTCTTTTATCAGTTCATACACACATACTCACACACACCCCTACCTGAAAATCTTAAAACTCACTTTATATTTTCTTTGTTTAGCTAGACTGGTTTAATCAACTCAGCACTGTTTCATCAGTCTATGTATAATCCACGTTAATTTATATATAATGACATTGGCAACTTAGTATTTATATTATTTCCTAATATTGACATTGCATTTAGGTTTTTGATGTTATATAATATTTGGAAAGTCTAACTAGTTGACATGTAGCAAGTGGGTACAGGACCTAGCTTTCCTGCCATTCAAGGGCCAGTATAGGCAAATACATTGCTTACTATCCACTCACAAACAAGAAATACTCCTATTGAAAACTGTGAAAATGTGAGATCAGGTTAAATGTATAGTAGGAATCCAGAAATGGAGGTTCAAAGTGTCACATATGTGTCTGAGTTTAGCAGTTTTCATCCCTTTCACCCAGACCTGGCATATTAAAAGAATCCAAGAAACACAGCAGATATCTTTGAAACATGATGGGACTAAGCCATGTTCTTATCCATTCAACAGAGCATTCAAAAGCGATCCTCAGCTTCCAATAATTCTCTGGCAATTCACACATCTTTATTTATTCAATATTCTGTTTTTTTTATTTGACAGAGTTATAGACAGTGAGAGACAGAGAGAAAGGTCTTCGTTCTGTTGGTTCACTCCCCTAATGACCACTATGGCTGGCACTGCACCAATCTGAAGACAGGAGCCAGGTGCTTCCTCCCAGTCTCCCATGCAGGTGCAGGGGCCCAAGCACTTGGGCCATCCTCCACTGCCCTCCTGGGCCACAGCAGAGAGCTGGACTGGAAGAGGAAC